CGACGCTCTGTTCGGGAAGCGAGATTTTCTTGATCGAATGAAATATATAAAAAGGTCGCGTGACATATAATCGTGCGACGACTTCAACGGGAGGAGCAGAAAGCGTCCCGTGTGCGCGATCGGTGCATGCGATCGAATTCGCTATCAGTGAACGTCAAGTGTAAATAATGTGAGTTGTCGCCCTAGATGATGAGGTCAATTTCGTATTGATAAATAAAGACAATGACGCATCGATTGTTCAATTGTTAAAGTCGAAGCCTCTCGAAGGGATTCATGAATTTTCTTTGTGCAGTTTTGTGGAAACTTAAACTTGTTTGAAATTTAATTATATTTTCCATTAGTTAAATAAATTTGGAGAAAAATAATTATTTCTTTCGAAAGAGATGCTTGTTACGTTTTCAAGGTATTTATTAATTTTATTTCTTCAGGCTCCCCTCATTTCATTGAACAATCAATCTGTATATGTATCGATAAAATGCTGATGCCTCTATGAGAACGACACACTCATTATTAAATATATGTAGAACAAATACAATTATTTATATATATGTTACAAATATATATTTTAAATATAAATTTGTAATATTGCTAATTCTGTATTACACAATGAGAATTTTTCTATTGCAGATACACTGGAAGAAAATGTGTAATGTCAGAGTGATACAACGTAGAGACATAGGTGGTCAATATAGAGCAATCGAGTATAACAGACTCTTGTGTATCTCGCTTAGTTGATGTATGGAACACTGTCTTAGATATTCGTCTAGCACTTTTATTGCATATCCTTAGTCTCGCTCTGTCGAAAAATATCCAGTGTTCATAAAATCGCAAAATTTAATGAGGCCGAAGGTGCCTCAAAAGAGGGGAAACTTTCTCTTGAGAAGGTACAGCGTTCTACGATTGACTGCAACGAACAATGAACCATTCGGGAAGCGGAAAACGTCAGGCGAAGGTTTTGGAAGAAAATTATTGGGACTGCAGTGTCTGCACTTTTAGGAATACAGCGGAAGCATTTAAGTGCCTCATGTGTGACGTCCGCAAAGGAACCTCTACGCGGAAACCCCGCATAAACCCCCAATTAGTAGCTCAACAGGTCAGTCTGTAATAACATTTTGTAACATTAATATATTACATTTACTCTCAGAATAATTTTTATATATACGTATGTATTTTATCTGAATGCAACTATCTTTTGCTTTTTTCAATCTTCTTCCCGTATTACTTCAAAATCATCGCAGATATTAGTACAATTAATCAACTTGTAACATGATTTGTATAGGTTGCGCAGCAACAATATGTGCCGCTTTTAAAACCAGGCAAGAAGGAAGGGAGTGGTGGTGGTGGTGGTGGTGGTGGTGGCGGTAGCACGACCAGCGGCGTCAAGGAGAAGGAACGCAAGATGGACAAACCGAGGCGCAAGAATAGGCATCCGCCACGTCTAAAAAATATCGACCGTAGTACCGCGCAAACAAACGAAGTGACAGTCAACAATGTTACCGTCACTATCACGGAGTACAAGCCCAAGGTGAAGAAGGGCTCGGACCAATCGAGCAACGCTAGCTCCGAGGGCGGGAGCCAGCACGATTCCAGTCAGGACTCGAGAAACCTCGATGTAGGAACCGACGCCTAGTTCAATGTGCTAATGTTACATATGTGTGTACGAATTATTCTAATTAATATATTGTACGACGTATGTATATCAATCTATGGTCAACTGTCATCATCCTTTAGACCAAAAGCGACCATTATTGACTCTCACTTCTCGCTCGTTTGTTGTATGCGTCGCCAGATTATCTGAACCCAATGAGGTCAGACATTTTATGCTATCAATGGAGAATATTATTGACTATAAATGATTTGTATATCACTATTTAACAGTGGAAGAAAAACAAGAATATATGCATTGTATATCATACCGATTTGATTGTTTGCGCGAAGTGAACGGATTGAATAATTCGCGTTGCTCTCCTTCGCGTCGTTAGCGAAAAAATTGTACTTAAAAACGCTTACTTTACCGATATCGATTCTTTATTTTTTAATATTTATTGAACTTATTTAATGTCTATCAATGTGACATAGATTCTAGATTTATACATGTAAAAAGAAAGGGAAAAAAAGCAAATTGTAAATATCTGACGCAACATTATCAGTCAAAAATGGAATTTTACGAGCCATTGCTGACATAATAATGTCCTCGACTGTCATTGAATTTTTACGAGACCACTGCCAGAAAGCGTGTCATATTATATTCGAAATTCGTTAACAAACCTAATGACACAGTCAATGATTGTGTATTATTGATTTTGCTTACAATAATTACCAGCGTTACTGGCACTGGTACACATATGTATCTTTTACCCCATTCCAGTTTATCTGAGATAAATTTTCATCGAGTACATATATTTCATCAGTTTCCTTGATTAATTTATTACGTTTTTCATTTCGCACAATTGGATTTGTTAGCTGATTACGTCTGAAAATGTACAGATTTAATATCAATTTTCAACAATGTAATATATACTCGTATCTCGTACTGAATATCTAAAAAAAACGACGCTTCCTGAAAAAAAATTATTTAAAATGACATCTTATTTCTAGCAAATAAGTGATTTAAAATTGTAAAATAAAAACGCGTTACATCAATTGTTTAGAAATATATATGCAGATATATATGTGCAGACATAAAAAGAGCTTTGAACAACATCATCATATTTATGTAACTGCCCGAAAAAAAAATCGCTCGTAACAGCGAAGTCTTGTTACATTTATTCAAAATTAAATTGCAGTTGCAAGGACCATGGGAAAAGTTTACAAACGTATAAAATAGAAAGGGAAGAGTTGTGTAAGAAAAAAATTGTTAATATTAATAGTTATATGCCACCGTGATTATTGTAATACGATTCTGCATTAAGAAATGAAAGTAATGTAGGACTTTGTCAGTATCAGATTAAGAGATATAATTAATAGACGAATCCGAACATTGTGTATACTCAAGTAACGAATAATATTCATTTAAAGACGCATTGTAAAAAGAATTTTCACAATTGCTCTCCCTCCCCCTGGCCAACTTGCTTTGAATTCTTAATTAAACAAATCACATAAGTTGCATAAAAATTTTAGTTTTTGCAGATATCTAATTATTAGATATAATCAGATAAGTACCACAGATAACAATAAAAATCGTGATCATTTTTACAAAAAGAAATATGCAACAAATGATATTTTTACAAATTTGTAGAATCATATAAGCTTTACTAGTTTCCATTTTATACTATGTAACCTGCTTGTCTCTATATGATGCAAATTTATGTATTTTAAATGGCACATGAAAGAATTCCAAGTAGAATGTATTTTCAAATTTGTACTAAATTTTTAAATTCTATACAATGTTTTTAAATGTATCTTTCAGAATCTCATTTTGTAGTACCTCCAAGAAATTAAATAAATGTTCTTGTCCGTACATCATTATATACATAACATCGTCAATCAAGGATTTATTTTATATTGAAAATAATTTTTTTTAATAAATACGTGAGCTCCATATAATGTTACATCGTTAATTCATATCGCATGATACGAAAATTTGATCAATGGTCGAATAAAACTCAGTTATTCTCAACAAAAATGTTACATTGTACAAGACGTAATATTCTTGAGAAATTATCATCGGGTTAACATTATATTGTTAACAGGAAAACAATAAATCACATGTTTTGAGAAAGAACACGAGCACGTTTTAATAATTAGCTATCTTATTAGACATATATATACATATATAAATCTTAATGTGCCATATATAGAGATATATCTTAAGTTTCCTCTTTCTCTATTTTAATTCGCACACTTGATTCCATTTTTTCAATTTCCATATCTTCCATGTCGTTGGCGACGTCCATTATCTCCTGTTTGAATACCATTACCGAATTTGACACGACACGTCCCGCATCCGCGAATCTCTCTTGCACTGTAGGAATCTCCCTGAGATCTAGCATTTTAATATTGTTCGCTTTATTATCCCCACCAGCGACAAATATGAATCCATTATCGGGATTTGACGCGAGGCATTGAATAGCACCTAAATTATTCGACTGTTCCCATATAAGAATAGGAGCTGTTTGATCGAGAAGATCCCATATCTTCGTTATACCATCGTTTGAACAAGTAACTAACAGACCTTGGCATGATGTGCTAAGAGAAAGACCTGAAAAGAATATTAGATGGATATATTAAATAAGATTTATGGAACTTATAAGAAACTATATATATATATACATATATAAAGCAAATTTATCTTTTTTGTAAAACAAAAAGAAGTTATCTACCTGTAACTTCTTTTTCATGAGCCTTGATTTGCCATAAAGGCTTGTCTCCTCTTACATCAAAGTATTCTATATAACCATTATCTGTGCTGGCCTGCAAACAAACACAATCATTATGGATATAAAGAAAATTGATATTAGAGACATGTATAAGACGTACAATGCAATAATTTGGATCATAATGATTCCACAACACCCTCTCCACTTCTCCTGATACCTCCCAGCTTTGTACAAGTGCTTCCTCCTTGCAATCGAATAATCTTACTAATCTAAAAGGAAATTACATGTAGATATTTATCTAGTAAATATTTATAATAATAATCAAACATACTTGTCTGCACATCCTGTCAATAATCGATGGGTTTCCTGTGGATGCCACTTCAATGCTTGTATTTTCTCATTAAACGAATCTAGTTTAGTCACGGGCTTACAATTTTCCAAGTCCCATAATAAGACTGTTTGGTCGACCGAACCGCTAGCAAGCACATGCCTGAAACGAGATGTCCATCAATAGTTTTTATTATAAAATCATGTATTTTATTAAATGTATTTTTTTTAAATTAGAAACTAACATATAATTCTGGTTCCATGCTATGTCTAGAACTGCGTCCCTATGGCCAACGCGCTTTTGCTTCTTCTTTTTACTCGGTTTACAGCCTAATTTATAGGCTGGCTCTAAACAATCTATCAAATCCAAGTCCCATACCTCAATTATGGGAGTCATATTGCCAATTGCACATAAATTACCTGTAAAAAGAAATTAAATATATAATT